GATTGCTCTTGGTAAGACTTTTACTAACATTTAATTAAATCTTAAAGTGCTTAGATTTTTCAACAAGGAATGACAACCAAAGATGACGACGATATCAGAAAAGCAGAGTCTTTCTACCATGACATTCGCTTCCTTGTTCGGATAAACTTCAAGATCTTGAATTTGAACTTGAAAGATTGGAGAAGAATGAAATACAAGTAATAGATTCAAAAGACATTGTATTGAAGACAATAATAAAATTTTATGATAGTAATCAAGAGGAGGAATCCACTAATGGTGATGATGATATTATCAAAATTTTTGAAAAATGCTTGAGAAAAGAAAGAAAAAAAGAGATCATTCATAAAGAAGCATCAACAAGGAAAGTTACATATTTTAAATATGGAGAAAGAGGACATGTTAAAAGTGAACGCCCTACACTTCAAAAGAAGAATAAATTAAATAGCAAGAATCATAAAAATGAAAAGATAACATATGTAGCATGGGATGACAATTGTGAGATATTGGATCGAACTCTAGTATGTTGTCGGAGTAATGCGTGTTGTAGTCGAAGTTTGTTCTAACATGCATTAGTCAATATTGCTAGGTTTGTTAGCATATTGAATTGGGCCTTGCTCATAAGTCCAATTGTTTAAGTTAGATTGTACCCTAAGTTAGCTTGTAATGGATAATTGTTAAAAATCTCATTAGGTCAGTGTGTTAGCTTTCTTATAAATAACATGCTAATTTCTCATCTTGTATAAGGAAAAATAGGAAGATAAAATCCTAATTTAAGAGAGAGATGTTATTTGTTATTCTTGTATACTTATAATCTTGTTTGATAGAGAAAGGAAAGAATAACAGTTTATAACCAATCCTTGTTGTTTCTTTTTGTTCTTCTTGCTTGTTTTCTTTGTTAACCATAACTCTTGTGTGTCTCTTGAATATAAAGAAATCATTTATATTTTATTTCAAGACATCCTATTCACAACAAATTGGTGGAGTGAGCATGGAGAAGACGCCTTCAACAAAGTATGAGATTGAAAAGTCCACCAGAGTGAACGACTTCAGTCTGTGGCACTTGAAGATGAAAGCTCTACTAGTTCAGCAGAGTTGTTTGGAAGCATTGAAGGGAGAGACAACCATGGACGCTGCATTATCGGAAAAAGAAAAGACGACCATGATTGAGAAAGCCCACAACGCAATATTGTTGAGCCTTGGTAATAAGGTTCTTCGATAGGTATCAAAGGAGACTACATCATCGGAGTTATGGGTGAAACTTGAAAGTTTATACATGACCAAATCCCTGGTGAATCGACTCTACCTGAAGCAAGCTTTGTATTCATTCAAGATGAGTGAAGACAAAGTGTTGGATGAGCAGTTGGATATGTTTAACAAGTTGATTTTTGATCTTGAAAATACTGATGTGAAGATCGATGATGAAGATCAAGCATTGTTGTTGTTGTGTGCTTTGTCCAAAACATATGCTCACTTCAAAGAAACTCTCTTGTATGGAAGCGGGTCCCCGAGCTTTGAAGAAGTTGAATCAACCTTGTATTATAAGGACTTGAACGAGCGAAAAGAGCATAAACCTTTGACAATGGCCAAAGATTTGACTGTTAAGGGAAAATTCTTGCGAAATGATATTATCCATCTTCACCACCATGATTCTCTTATTTACAACCTTTTTGAACTGGACAAACCTGTATCATTTTCGTCGTTTGTCTCTCACTAGAGGGATAACAACTTCTATCACCACCCCGTAGTCTTTAAACACTTCAAACACCTCTTTTACTTCAAAGGAGTCAGGGAACTCAGTGAAAAAGAAAGTGGACAGTATCCCTTCATCCTCAACACCTTTTCCTCCCCATGGCGTTCAAACTGATCTTCTAGACATCCCAATATGGGGTCTTTTCTGGCAAACCTCTACCCAAACTGTCATATTGTTTACTTTCATCAATAAAAATTCTTCAACTTGTATCTATAATATTGTATTATAATAGTATCAGACTTATCTGTGTAATCTAATAGAAGTGGTTGGGGATGTCCTTTATATCCAAAGGAAATCCAAATGTACTTTCAAACTGAGAGTCATGAATTGCAACTTTTGGGCATGCAAGTAAATTCTTTAGTTTAAGTACTTACTTATTCAAAGTACTATATATCTATGGATTTGCTTCTAGTATTACAAATTATGTGATAAAGAATGACCAACATCTGATTTACCTGACAATTTCACTTGTCATTTAAAGTGCATAACTTAGGGTCAGTTTGATTTAAATAAAGGGAAGAGGATGATAGGGGTTTTAATGGAGGGAAGGAAAGAGGAGGGGAGATGAAGGAATTTTAATGATTATAAATTTGTTTAGTTCAAAAGAGCGGAGGGGATGGGAAGGGAGAGATTTTAATTAAAACTATGTTTGGTTAACAAGAGGAGGAGAGAGATTTTATTAATAATTTACATTTTTATTCTTATGATCTTGTATAAGTCATATGATATTCAAAGATGAAAAATTCGTAAATATCTTTTGGTAATAAATTATGCATAAGTAATTAAACACAATTTCTAATGTTGATTGATTAAAAAGTTATAACGTAACGTTAAAAAAATTGAGTACCTTAATTCAGATTATAACTCTTCGACACAAATTAAATTATGTGTTAATAACAGCTTTTAAATCGTGATGAATCATCTAATAAAACAAATAAATAAAATAACAATATAATAGACACAAAAAATTGTTTAACATTTGATGTAAAAAAATACAATAGAATATATAACAAAATTAGGAAGAAAAAAAAACAAACATAAATAAAAATAAATAAAAAATTTTATAAAAAAATATAGTGATTATAGTGTATATTAAATATAAAAATACGAAAATAATTTGAAAACTGATGGAAGCAACACAGAAAATCACGCAAAAGAAAAGAACTTATACGATTGAAAATGAATAATTTTAAAATACTAAAATAAAATTAAGGATATTTTAATAAATGTAAAATAAATTTAAATAATAAAAATTATATTGCCTCCCCTCCCCTCCAAATTCCTCCGGTTTGGATAGACAATCTCCCCTTCCCTCCTCTCATTTCTCCTCCTAAAATTTGAAACAAACACATTTAATTTTATTTCATCCACTCCCCTCTCTTCCATCTATCTCGAACCAAACAAACTCTTAAGAAAAAGAATGAGCTATTCCGATCTAGTGATATGATGTTGAAAACTCGATGTTATGGGTTAACTTTGTTGAAAACTTGTGAATTCTACATGTGCTAGGATTGCTATGAAGCTGGTTATGCACTAAGTCGGGCAGTACAGTACAAACTGAGTCTCCATCACCGAGTTGGGCAACACCAACTAAATATGTCAATCATAATTGTGTTTATCTTTTTAGTACACCTTTTACAATAATATTTGTGTCCACCTTTTGAATTGTGTATGAGTACACTTTATGTCATATTGAAACATGTTTAATGTTATTTTAGTTTAATGTTTTTGGTTTGAATAAAAGAATGTAATAAAATTATAATTTAATGTTATTAAATTTAAGATTTTGTTGATATGAAAAATTTCTTTCTATTCATTCAAAATGTTATAAAAATCTTGTCTAGTAAATAACAAGTTAGAAATGCACTTTATTTACAATTTAGTTTATTAATTAAATGGTTGACTCAATAGTTTAACTTTTGTCATACTACATCAAGTTAACACTTTTTAAAATAAATTTAATAGGAATGATCAACTTAATTAACAAAATGGTTTTTAAAAGACTAAATAATGTAATTTAGAATATAGATCACTTCGGATTACATCATTTCACTTCTTATATTTTATTTGTACATCAAATACTTATATTATATACATCGTATTTATACAATAAATAATATTTTATAAATAAAAAATGATATTTATGAACAATAATTTTAAAGAGTAAAATAAAATTGATTAATAAAATATAAAAAGTTGATTAATAAAATAATAAAATTAATTAATAAAAATATATTTAAATAGAATTATCCTATTATTAACATCATAATGAATAATAACTATATAAATCTATGATGAGATTTTTGTCAGAAAAATTATTTTAAATTATTTTTTCTAATGTTGATTTACTTAATTTAATTACAGATAAAAGAATAAATAAAAAATCAAAAAATATATTTATAATGTTAACCAATAAAAGATGTGTATCTAATTAAATCCCGTTTTTAATTTTAAAATGCTAATCTGATTTGCAAATTTAAAATTTTTAATTGAATATATGTGTAATATTATTTTACACGAATAATGCAGCATCTTTAAACTCATTTAAAAAAATCAAATTAATTGATAAGGAAGTGTTTCTTTTTAACACTCTTCCTAACACTTAGTGTTTTATTGGGTGAAACACATTTACATCTCTCACTTTAAAAATAAATTCCATATAAAATAGTAGAAATCACATGTATTTCATCCAATAAAATAGTGAGTTTTAGAGAGTGTTGAAAAAAGTGAATATTTAAATTCAAAATCTAATTATAACAATTTTTAATCAAAATTCAAAATTTAAATTACATGACCCTTTTTTCTAATAATCAGATATTTAAAACCAATTTAATTATTTTTAAGACAAAATTTAAGTTTACAATAAAATAAATACATAAAAAAAAATTCAATAATAATAAAATTCTTTTTTAGTTACAATAAAAGTCAAATATCCTTTAATATCAAAGATCTATAATTAATTGATAGTGTAGAATTCTTTTATACTATTTCAATTAAATTTAAAAAAGAAAATACTACTACCCAAACATTATTATTAAATAACAGTTTTATTTTATATAAAAGATATATAATTAATTAGCCGTTGTCTGAATGTAATAAACGGCTAGTTTTCGAATTCTCATTTCTTCAAATATCAAAGGTTTCTCAGTTAGCTGTATTATCGTTCCTTTCTCTCTCAAATATCTATTTTAATTTTTATCTTTCAATCTTTCGGTGATTGTGATTTCTGAAGTAATCAAAATTTTCAGTAATGGATGATGTTGCGTACGATTCACCGTCAACGATTCACTGCTCTGATGCTGATGCTCATCCTCCACTTCCTCGATCTCCGATCTCCTCCGTCAGATCCAAGATCGGAAAGGTACCTTCAGTTCTTCCACTGTTCACTAAGTATCAGTTTATATGTTAGAGTAGTTTCCCTAATTTGTATGATTAATTTTGTTGCAATTCTTAATTACTGATTCAAAACCCTAAATTAACCTAAAAACGAGGCTAATCAAGAGTTTGTTCTAACAATAAACCATTAATTTAGTCCTAAAGTATCACCCTTCAATTCTTAAATACATGAAAATGATAAGTTATTCTATATAAAATCGGTCAATTTTAGTTATATGGAAATCTGTCATGTTAATCCATAACATCTTAATAAGTTGACTGGTTTAGGTTTAGTATACTTTATGAATTAGTTATTATACTATGACTGGACTGGAGAGATATGGATAGATTAGAGACCAAATTGATGATTTATTTTGTGAAAAAATAGTTTGGCTTGCTCGAGTGATAAGAATTTTGAATTTGCTTTGTTGAATGATGATGCAGAATAAACTGATGAAGGAATTAGGCCAGTCTTCATCCAATGCTCTTAAAAAGTTATCCTCACAAATCAGGAAACCTTCTCGCCGTAAGACTTCTCCGGTCAACTGGTTCCCGCGCAAAAAAGTGGACTCCTTCTTGGAGAGGAAAATTAAGATGCTGCAGGTTTAGCCTTAAAACCTTCACATTCTCAACGTGTATTTTGTATATTCTGTGGGAAGATTAAGATGTTTCATGTTTATAGCCTTAAACCTTCGCATTCTCTACTTGTATTTTGTATGGGATGCTTCATGTTTATTAGCCTTAAACCTTCACATTCTCTACTTGTATTTTGTATATTCTGTGGATGCTTCATGTTTATTAGCCTTAAACCTTCACATTCTCTACTTGTATTTTGTATATTCTGTGGATGCTTCATGTTTATTAGCCTTAAACCTTCACATTCTCTACTTGTATTTTGTATATTATGTTGGATGCTTCATGTTTATTAGCCTTAAATCTTCACATTGTCTACTTGTATTTTTATAATATGTGGTTTTTGATGCTGATACATTTTTCCTATTCAGGGAGTAGATGGAATGAGTTTAACACTTGATCAGACTCTAGGCAGTTCTAACCCGCATTATTCAAGAGTGTTGAGAGAGAAAATGGCAGCTAGAGAAGCGGCAAACAAAGCAATGGAGGCTCGAAGAGACGCTTTAGTGGAGGCCTCTTGGTGCCGAATTTTACGTGCTGCTAGGTAAAGCTTAATGCAGAAAAATAAATAAAATGTAGGACATTAGCTGTAGTTTAATTTGAGAAAATGTTTAACAAATCTTTGAAAACAGGAAAAGGTTGATGTGAATTTTATCCTATTGGTGTTTTTAGGATTCCTAGTGATGCCGCAGAAGCTCAACTCTTAAAGGCAGAAAAAACTGCCACGGAAGCTTTTGAGGCAGCTGATGCCATGGGCGTTATCATGTTTGACTTGCCAGATTGTCCAAAAAAGCATGGTCAAATAGAGACCCCCTCTATTAAGGGAGAAGGATCACATATTCATTCATTTACTGCATCTTTTGAAACTGCCTTTGATGTAGACAAAGAAGTAGCTGCAGCAGTAAAAACTGCATTTACTAAGCTTGCAGCACGCCCTTCATTTAGTAAAGATGAATTCAAAGAGCTGTTGAAAAAAATTAGTGAACACCCAGATACAGATGAAAGTCATCAGGACTTATATGAGCTCTCTTCAGAGTATGAATCTGAGTCTGAGTCTGAGTTAGATCCAGTGTCCCAAAAAAGTGAAAATGAATTCAAGTCTGAGTCTGAGTTAGATCCAGTGTCCCCAAAAAGTGAAGTCAAGTCTGAAGACTTGGATTCCAAAATATTATTTCCAGGAATTATTGAGAGGAAAAGTGGGAGGAGACAGTCTCTTGAAAATAAAATAAAGCTTGTGGACATGATGATTGAGAGGTTAAAATGTTTGCAAGAAGATGAACTTTCATCTCTCGCAACTATAGTTGCAACTTATGGCCTAAATGCTGCCTTGGCTGAAGTTCATAATACCAAGCAACACAATCCAGCGATTAATTTTCCTGCAAGAAGAATGTCGTCATTGGGATTGCGAAAGTCAGCCTTGGATGGAACATCAAGAAAGGATCAAGTTGAACCAGAATTACCAAGCCTAGATAAATTTTTAGTCAAGAACGTGACAAGACTTGAAAGAGAGATCTGTGAAGCCAAGAAAAACCAAAGGAATGAAACAATACTAGGAAAGTATAGCTCTGGTAAATCTGTAGATCAAACTCCAACGGAGTCCATACCGGATTTGGGAAGTATTCTAGTGAAGAACTATTCAAAATTTGAGAAAGACATCAAGGAAGCAAAAATTAAGTCGGTAAAGGAAAAGCTAGGAGCATCTAGAGGCAAGGATCACACAGAAGTTCCAGGCTTAGACAAGGTCTTAGTGAAACATGTCTCAAGACTAGAAAAAGAAGTTCAAGAAGCCAAAAAGAGAGCAATCAATGAGAACAAAAATGAAGCATTAGACATGAAAGAAAACATAAATTTGAATATGATAGATGAAAACAAAGATGGGTTGGAAAAGGTTTTGGCAAAGCCAGTACACAGATTGGAAAAAGAGAAGTTGGAGGCATTAGCACGTGGAAGCCAGGTTCTAAACTATAGACAGAGAAAGAATCATGGAGCGACTAATGTTGGGGAGTGGGAGAGCTTGGATAAAGTTTTGGTTAAGCGTGCATCTAGGCCAGAGAAGGAGAAAATAAAGATCAATTCAGGGGAAGAATGGGACATAGTTCAGAAAAGTCGCCAAAATAAGCATTTGGAGACAAATGAAGAAGGTAGTGGTTTGGACAAAGTTTTGGTTAAACATAAATCTAGACTTGAGAGAGAAAAGATGGCTGCTGCAGCTCAACAGCAAGAGAACTCTGTTAGTTTAAGTACGGCTCAGACTCGCCGCATGGCAAGGGAGAGAGAGTTGCAAGATGCTTGGGGAGGACTGAGCTTAGGAAACTCCATCAAGCCTAGTGTCTCAAAGGTTGAACAAGCTGCAGCTCAACAGCAAGAGAAGTCGGTTAGTTTTTCTGCAGCTCGCCACAGGGCAAAGGAAAGAGAGTTGGAAGATGCTTGGGGAGGACTGAGCTTAGGAAACTCCATCAAGCCTAGTGTCTCAAAGCTTGAAAAAGAAAAGGTCAGTATCGTTTCTAAGACTGACTGGATTTTCTTTTATCTACTCAAGTATCCATTTTAATATTTTTTTCCTTTCCTTTTCTGATTTTCTTTCATCTAGGCTGACTGGATTAAAGCTGAAGCTGAGGAAAGGAAGCAAACAATGGAAGGAATAAGATGATAACAAGTTCTTAGATAGTTCATATTTGTGGATAACAAAGGATTTGCCAAACTTTCTTGAGTCAAATTTGATTGTCTCAGTAAAAAACAACCTATACTATAATACATCATGTAACAGTTTGTTTTACTGTGATCAACATGACACAGTGTCGTAATCTCAATTTCGATTCTTATTAATACCCAAAGGCACTCAAATGCTCAGGTATACACAATTTGCCAAACTTTGTTAACAAATCATGGTTTTGTTATTTGCTTTTATTTTGGTCTTTTACTTGTACTATTTCGTTTTAGATTCAAACAATAGGTTAGATGTGATGTTCCTTATGAGTAAAATTTGACTGTCTCAATCAACAAGTTTACCTATTATAGTATTTCTCTCGGTAAGTGATAATTTCAAGTCTTATAGTTAGAGGTCGATGTTAATCCGGTGTTTTAACAAATCACACTAGTTGCTCGTTTAAAAAAATTAGACTTATATATGCTTTTAATCTTTCCACTATTGTCTTAAATCAATAATGTCTTAAATCAAGTTTCTTAGTCGTCTTTTTTTCTAATCTTTGAGGTTTCATTAGTCTCCTTCCCATTTTAATTATGCGGTAGTGATGTGGCATATTTGAGTTAAATAAAATAAATTGTTAGAACAGAAACGCGAATACATATCAGTAAAGAAAAATACATAAAAAGTTTGTTGACACAGTTAGAGTAAATTGTCTACGTCTGCGAGTACAAAGTAGTTATAGTTCTTTTTATTTATGTATTGTAAATTGCATATAAATTTCAGTATTACAAGGTATATATATACAAGTCAAATATATATATATCTATCCATATGAAGACTTCTTGCATAATAATACGTCCTAGAAACTGAGGAGGCACACCTTTTGCTTAACACTGAGAAATATGTAATCAGTATAACACATTTGTCAATATATCAACGTTCTCTGAAATGTGAACCTTCTGAAGTAATATTTGTCTGGACGTTAACAACTCCCTGATCTTGTGGAATCTCACATCAATATGTTTGGTCCTAGCATGATACACATGATTGTTCGCCAAATAGATAGCACTCTGACTATAATAATGCAACCGAATTGCTCAACACTCAACTATTTCACTAACTTTATAAGGCATAATGTTGCCTCACTTGTAGACATAACTACTATGGATTGAACTAATAATTTTTGGCATATAGGTCCCCCCGCAAGAGTAAAGAAATACCCCGTTGTAGATCTCCTATCATTCAGATCACTTGCTTGGTCCATGCTGAACATGATACCATGATTTGATGTACCCTTTAAGTACCTTATATCCACTTGACTGATTTCCAATGCTGCTTTCTTGGCTTGGACGTGAACTTGAACACTTGACTAACTGCTTGTGTCAAATCTGATCTAGTGCATACTATAACATACATCAAACAACCAACTGCAGTGGAACAAGGAATTTTAAACATATCTTCAATCTTAGAGTCTGTCTTCGTACATTGTTCCAAAGAGAGCTTGAAATGATTCGCCAATGAATTACTCATATGCTTAGCTTTGCTCATGTCAAATCAGCCCAAAACACTAATAACATAGCTTTTCTGAGACAACCATACTTTATTAGCTCCTCGTCCATGTGAATTTACATCCCAAGAATCTTCTTTGTAGCACCCAGATCGTTCATATTAAACTTCTTACCCAACTTGAACTTCAACTCATTTACATCATGCAAATGGTTGGCAGCAACCAACATATCATATGCATAAAGTAACGGAAAAATAAAAAAGTCATCATCAAGGCTCCTCACATAAACACATCAATCATAATCACACCTTCTATAGCCAATCTGAAACATGTATGAATCATGCTTGAGGGCAGAGTAAGGAAGTATCGATTAGTGTGTTTGAGCATTTAAGTTTCATGCTTGAGGTCAGAGCAGGAAGTCTCGATATGGTATGATTGAACAAGAAGTCTCTTTCCGTGGGATTAAGCAGGAAGTCCTGAATAAGTTGTTTAGGCAAGGAAATTTCTTACTTGAGGGCTTGAGCATAAGTCACTTTCTAGTTGAATTGAGCAAATTGTAATCTGTTAATTATAGTGGAAATCTCTTGTGCTGTAAGGGGACTGAACTACTCTCGAGTTAAGAGGAACAAAATTACATTATGCATCTCTTTATTTACTTTTGCTTTTATATTTCGTTGTGCAACAAACTCTAAAATCAGAATCTGATTTGATTAAGCCTCTTACTTGGATTAGAATCTGAACTTTACATCTTAGATTCTGAAACAGGTTTAAGAAAAAGAAGTAAATGTTCCCATACATAATTCAACCCCTTGTTCTTGTGTATATTTTCTCATTTTCAGTTGGTATCAGAGCCTAACTGTGTTTTTTCACTTAATAGTGAAACAAAAAAGATCAGATGAGAAACACTATTCAGTCAGTGCTTCTGCTTTCAATGAAGTTTTCTTCATTAATCTAAGAATGGAAAATACAAAAGATAAAGAAAATATGAGTCAAAGAAAGTCATGATAACGTTGTGATGAGTGCTTAAACATAAGCATATGACCTTAAAGGAACTTTTGAATAAAAAATGGGTTCTTTCAAATTTCTCTGGATCAATAAACTTGTTTATACTCTAAGTCATTTGTATTGTGAGTATGAAAGGATTTTTAATATGTAAGGCTGACTCGCGGGATAAGTGTACTTGTTAAAGAAATTAAGAAACTTTTTTCTACTTTAAGTCATTTGCTTTGTGAGTATGAAATGATTCTTTAATTCTTAAGACTGACCCGTGGGGAAAATGTGCTTGTTGCAGGAATTAAGGGTTAATCTTAATCTTCTTGTTAAGGAAGATCAAGATTAAGAACTTTTCCAGCTTGGATCAAAGACAGTAGCAAAATATCTTGCAAATAGTTTCTCTTATTTAAGAGAAGAATATATCTTTGACAAGATGGATGACTCTTCTGTAAATGAAGTGAGGGATGGAAATCTTTTTGGTAGTGTTCATCGTGCTTATAGCAATATTAAAAAGAAACATTACTCTTAACAACCTATATAAAGCACCACAGAGTGAGAGGCATTATGGTGAATGCTTTACCACTGAAAGAGGCTAAAGACCAAAATACTCTAGCTCTTGAAAGGTTGACCAGTAAACTTCAGAGCAATGAAATGGAACTGAATGGTGATGAACCTGTGTTAAAACTTAGATCTCTTGCTTTGAGGTCTAATGCTGAAAGATCTGGTGATAAAACTTCCATATCCTCAAAAGTCAGAAAAACTAAAAGAAACTTCTGATGGAAAAGATTCTAATTGGGACTCTAATGATGAAGAAATGAATTTCATCATCAAGAGGTTTCAACAGCTGGCTAAGAGAAACAAGAAATTCTCTAATAGATGTTCTACTTTAAAAGTTTTAGTTCCAGAAACAAGGAAGATGACCAGAAAATCTACTACAACTACAACAAGCCTGACCACTTCATAAATAATTTCCCTGATCTACAAAAGGACTGATTTAAAAAGAGAAGCTTTCAGAAGGAAAGTTTCAAGAGCAAGTTCAAGAAAAGTCTTATTGCAACATGAGATGAACTTGATGATGAAGAGGATTCAGATTGAAAAGCTGAAGAAGCCAACCTTGCACTGATGGCTCACACACCCCTTGATTCAGAATCCTAGTAAGGTTCTGGTTCAGAATTAGATAAGGAAGATGAGAACTAAGCTTGCATTCATGATTTATGGAGTTAGCAACAACAAAGGAGAAGGTTTGGGCTTTCATGAAAAAAATGCTTTTGATTCCAAAATTTTGACATGAAAGAAACCCAAAGAAACCTCTTCTTCAAGCTACGCTGATAAAAGGATTAAATACCTTGGGTTATCTATTGTTGAGTGTAGCAAGATTCTGAATACATTGACAAAGAAGTAAAAGTTTTTTATTGGAATAGAACCTAAAACTTCAAAGTCAGTAGTTTTTGAAAAAAATAGACAATATAATCCTTAAGTCAAAAGGTGAAAGGAATTCAAAACCTAATACCACCAAGTCAAAGGTTTCAAGGAAACCTAAACCAAATATCTCTAGATCCAAGTCTCTAAAAAATTCAAAAACTAAGATAAAAGGTGAAACATTTGTTCTAGAGCCTAGATGATGGACATATATAACCTACAACTAGAGGAAAACATGTGTTCCAAATCCTAACTCAAGGGAGAAGAAGGGAAAAAAAGGTTATTATCTCCAGTCTTCTGAACTTCAAGTTTCCGCAGGGGTGTGCTGCATCCTTCTGTCACAGAAGAAGGGGTGCTCGTATATCCAACATTGATAAAAGAATACATACACAACAAATAATAATTAAGAAATGTTATTCACAATAATTAAATAAGAACTAAACTACAAATAATACTTTCTAGTATACATGGAGTATACTCAAATGACCAGTAAGTTGTCTGGTCTCAAAAATTATGAAATTCCTAGTACAATTCCAATTTTTTAAACTCTCAAAAGTTCTATAATTCCAAATAAACATGCATGCAAAAATATCATAATTTCTAAAATTTCTGCTAAAAATCTAAAGGATTATGTTAGAGTTTTAGAAATGTTCAATAAAAACCTTACTTTTGATTAGATTTCCGATGTTGCTTTTGAGATTTTTGAAATTTGTGCAAATTCTAAGTGAATTTTGATAAGTATTTAAAAAAATTACAAGATTAATATAATCAATTTATTGTGTTTGTGGGGTGCAAGGTTTAAATGGAGTGACATGTAAAGGGTAAATACTCTCTAGAGATTAATAGTGTCTTTTAGAGGCCCAGATTTAACGGGTCAGAGTAAAGACCAATTGACAAAGAGCCTGTATATAAAATTGAAATTGTTATCAACGTTCTCTCAACAAACCCTAATCTGAGACAATGGGACACAGCAACGTCTGGAATTCTCATCCCAAAACCTACGGTCCTGGTTCTCGCACTTGGTATGTCCATTCTTCAATCATCTTCTCCGCTACTTTTCTTTCAACTAGTTTGCTTATTTCGCCGTTTAGCGTTTCTCTGATGATCCCAATTTTTACAGTTTTACTCTTTCTAATTTCTATTTGTTTATTACTCGCAGCCGTGTGTGTGGGAATTCACATGGATTGATTAGGAAGTATGGCCTTATGTGCTGCAGGCAGTGCTTCCATAGCAACGCCAAAGAAATTGGTTTCATCAAGGTAAACATTTGAATGGTTTAATCATCAAGGTTATTACTATATGAATTTGTTCATATCTAACTCTTTTTTATTTGTTGCAGTACCGTTGAAGAGCTGTTGTAGCTGTTCTGACATAAGAATGATGTGAAGCATGTTTTTCATACTGGATTTGTGGAATTAAAAGTTTGTTTTTATATATAGTGCTTTGAATTGTTGTTTACTATTGAACTTGAAATTAAATGTGATTGAAGGTGAAATTTTGCCTAACTTTATTATTGGACTGGAACTTTACTGGTTTGGAACGGTCTTTTAGATGTTGCGATTGCAGTTATTGTGATTGTGTGGTAGATGTTGCGATTGCTATTGTGATTGTGTGTTGTAGATGTTGCGATTGCAGTTATTGTGATTGTGTGGTAGATGTTGCGATTGCTATTGTGATTGTGTGTTGTAGATGTTGCGATTGCTATTGTGATTGTGTGTTGTAGATGTTGCGATTGCAGTTATTGTGATTGTGTTGTAGATGTTGCGATTGCAGTTATTGTAGATGTTGCGATCATTGCAGTTATTGTGATTGTGTTGTAGATGTTGCGATTGCAGTTATTGTGATTGTGTGTTGTAGATGTTGCGATTGCTATTGTGATTGTGTGTTGTAGATGTTGCGATTGCAATGATTGGTATATGCATCACAGCCAGGGCTGCATAAATTTTGATAAATTTTGAGTTAGAAGAATTTAAAATATACCACTATTGCATTTGTCAACCGCAGTTAAAGCTATGAGAATATAGAACTTAATTCTAAAAGGTGGTATGCTATCTTAGTATAGTAAGACTTTAAGAGACATCCTCTCTCTTCAACATGGCTCAAGTTACAGATTTTATAATGTTTACTTTTTTTTTTCTTTGTTTTATTACTTTACATTCTCGAACTATTAATTTCAAAATTTTATTTACAACTTACAATTTGTCCAAATGAAATGAACTTAAGGTGTCATTAGGTTGTTTACTAATTGTGTAAAATGAATTATGTATAATGCATGCAACGTGACAATAATAGTTCCAGGTGATGATGGGTTTATTTGGTGATATAAAAGTAGAAAGAAAATGAAAAAATTGATAGATTGTTTAATTATTTTATATTTTGTACTTCAATTTTAGAATTTATCTTTTCACGAATTATCTCAATTCAACATTTCAAGTATGTAAATAGAGAGAATCCTATTGATGTTTCTAAAGTGTTTAAAGTACTAAGTGCAGGAAAGAAATTTCAGATGATCAAACTTGCTCAACGTTGTATGCATTTTGTTTTCCTTTTAAATCTTTTAGTTGTAAAAAGAATACTCAACATTTTCACCTTCTTCGACTATGTATTTATTCTCTTCTGTTTGTTTTGTTACAACTTGTTCTATCTGGGACTTGTTCTCTATTTTAAAATGTCTTTGAGAAAAACAATGGCTCTTGTTGTTGTTCCCACCTTTAGAACAAGCACTAGGAAAAAAAACGGAAGTTCAAACAATCCAACTTTAGTTATTGATGAAAGAAGCTGTTTCATCTCGAACAAAAATTGATGATGACAGTCAAGATATTGATTAAGATGATAGTGATGATATTGGTGGTGGGGATTTTTTTGGAGATTTGAATGTTTGAAGCCATTGACATATTTGTTTTATGAATTTGTTTTGTTTTGTGTAGTATCCAATTAAGAAAGTCTTTAATTACATATTTTGATGTTTTATTTGTTCTATTATCGAGTTTTTTTCTTAAGAAAGTTTAATATAGAATATAAAATTTAAATTTTGATATATATATATATATATATATATATATATATATATATATATATATATATATATATATATATATATATATATATATATATATATATATATATAGGTTTAAGCTATAGTATTTCATTTGCATAGAAATAATGTGATAATTCTTTGTAAAAATCTCATTCTTTAAATTTGAAGTGCAGTGTTTTTTTTATGATAGTCTAGTGGCTGATGATTTACTCTTTAAAATAAATAAATGAAATGTCGCAGGTTCAAATCCACTTTCTTGCATCTAATATCTCTGCATCGCTATCAAGTGGTGCAATGGTAAAGGTTTATACAAAATGCTGAAAATCACATAATAGAAACGACTAGATGTGATATCATTTTGATTTGATAGCTCTTCATATTCTCGAAATAGGCTCTTCATTGAGGGTTTCTTCATTGAGGGTTTTCATAGTGCAAGGTCTTATGTTAGGGTTGACTTGTGTCGGTCTAAGTTAAGCTCCATTCTATAATATTCTCTTCTCCATTGTTTGCCCCTCAATGTATGAGATGGTCGTGGTGGAATCTTATGGAATAGGATAGCAACGCAGGATCAACTTTCGAAGAGAGGTATTAATAATGTTTATTGTTTTTGCGTTTTCTGTCATGAAACGGAAGAAGACTTCCAACACTTTTTTTCGATTGTTCGTTTGTCCAAATTGTTTGGAATAGAATGGAAGATTAGTGCGGGTGTGCTTGCACTTATGTAGGTAATTACTGAAACTTCTTTGTGGAGTGGTGCGGAGTGGGAAACAACGAAGAAGGTAATTTTAATTTTGAATCAGTTTGGTTGACAATCGTTTAGTGTCTTTGAAGGATCATAAATAAAATTATTTTTAACAATGATGTCTGTAATGTCAACGATGTTTGCTGGACTATTAAGTTTTTTGCCTGAAAATGGTCGTGCATAGGTGAAATTCCTTACTCCAACTCTAATTTTCTAACGTTTTGTATGAACTCTTTAAGGTTTTTAAGATAGATATAGTGTTGGTAGAGAATTTTTCCTTGTAATCTTCTCGTTGTTTTAATGGGTTGAATACCTCTTGTATTCAATTTAATTCAATTATTTTTTGAAAAAGAAAAAAAAAACTAAACATATTTAAATTTGTTATGGCAAATTTGACGATATCATATTAATTTAAAGAAAAGCTTCACAAATGTTGAATGATGTAATTTAGTTGATAAGTGTTAGTCGAGATGAATATGTAGAATTTATTGATTCTGAGTTTAATCTCGATATTTTTACTAAAATAATGTAGTTTTTTAATTTTTTTTAAAAAATAGTTTATATTTCAAATTATTTTTCAAACTATTCAACTTTTTTAAAAGAATTTTCAAAGCATTGATGTCAGATCAATTAGTGTCTGCACTCAAATTTTAATAGGATGCGCCAATTGAATTGAAGCTTATCAATCCAATTGGTACTCGATTGCCGTGTGTAGTCTATTGGCGTGGGTCGTATAACACAATACACATCGTATAACACAATACACATCGATGCCAAGTTAATTGGTGCCTGCGCTATATCATTATATATATATGCGTCAATTGGATTAACAGCATTAGATGCATACTCTAATTTAATTGGCATCTCCTTTTAAATTTTGGATGCAGACATCGATGCCAAGTTAATTGGTGCCTGCGCTATAACATTATATATATATGCGTCAATTGGATTAACAACATTAGATGCATACTCTAATTTAATTGGCGTCTCCTTTTAAATTTTGGATGCAGACGTCAATTAATTTGACATCAATATTTTAATGAATTTTTTTTAAAAAAGTGGGATTGTTTGAAAAATAATTTAAAATGTAAGTTATTTTAAGATTTTTTTGGTAAAATATTCTATTAAGTTTCCAATCATAATATTTATTTATATTTATATACTAATATAAATTATTAATATTTATAAATTAATAATAAAAATGCTTTGCAATAAAAATATTGTCAAATAAATTATTTTAGAAGACCATCCACCCAAATCTGGCAAAATATCTAATATTAAGAAACTCTCTAGACAAAAAGTTAAAATTGGAGCACTGACGATATTTATGATTTGATTTTTCAGATAATAAAAGAACATTAAATTTGAAGTATAGATAATTTAATATCGATTCAACGATCTCAAAATGTAAGATGGTGAATATTCCTAAAAGACAAAACTATGACATGCATATGATTTTATTATTATTATTATTATTGGACGAAATGCATATAAAACTTTTATACGCACCTCACTAGTCCAACTTTTTATTTTTTATTATGTTTTGGTCAAAGTTCAACATTTTTTGGTTAACATTTTTATTGTAGACTAAAAGCTAAAAAAGAAATACAATCTTCTTTCAATTTAATTAACCATCTCTAAAATATTCTTTATATTATTTTTGAGAAAATAAATATATATACTAACAATCAAAGAAAATAAGAATATATACTAACAATCAACTAATATCAACAATAAATATCAAATCACATTTATATTTTAAAATTATTTTTATTATATGACAGATTAAATATTTTTATTGTATAGTAATATAAAATTATTTTATAATATTAGTGTATTATTTTTAATTTGATTATTTTTTATAAAATAGTAAATCTGATTCGAAACTATGTGTTTGTATTAAATATCACGATTAGTGATGGTTCAACATTTTTATTGTTGATTAATAAAAATGAAATTTTTTATTACACACGAGTCATATATTCTTTTATAAAAAATATTAATTTATAAATATGAATAATTTTTAATATTAATATATAAATATATATAAATTGTTAGAAAATTTATTTAAATCTAATGATCAAGTTAGAATCGTGAATGAAATCATTTTTTTATAAGTATTTTAAGAATTTTCAAATGTCTTAGAGTTAGAATAAATGAATATCTAAGATAATTCAGTCTATACTCAAGTTTGTATAAGACCGATGAAAATTCAAATGTAGGAAAAATGAAATTCAAAATTTTGTGTGAAAAGAATAGACTTTTGTGTTGTATTATTTCTGAATCTGGAATGCTCAATTTATAATTCAAAGTAATGTTGTTTCACAAGGTTGCGACCCTTGATGAAACACACTTTCAACAACATTTTTACTAAATGTTACACTGTTTCGCCAACAACGGCATTTTTACTAAATGTTACATTGTTTCGTGTAACACCCCAAATATACCCCGCACGTTTAATAAAAAATCAGAGTGAATTCAAACATTTCATATTTAGGATGTCACATAATTCAACACAGTCAGCTGCTCATATATTAAGATATGTAACACATGCAAATATTTAAAAATT